CACGCGCGTTCATGGATCCGCGATCGCGGCGATGTCTCGATAAAAGATTCTAAAAGTTTAGAAACGATTTTTTTGTACTCTGGCAGCACGCGACGAGAAAGAACGCCGGATTGCACGCACCTCCGCCGCGATTTTCCACCCTCCCACCTACCTTGATCCGTTCTGGACCGATTTACCCGCGGTGAACAAAAGAGGTCGGTCCGCGAGATCGGGAAATCTGTCGCGCCGACCGGTCGCTCGATTAATCGGCATCTTCGCAACGAAACTCGATATACCCTCCTGCTCCTGCGCATCGAGCGTGTTCTCCCTGTACGTGCGCCCCGTTCTTTCGTTCCTCCGTTGAGACTCCACTCCGTGGTTTTCTTCATCCTCAGCCTCTGTCTCGCTTTTCCTCCTCGACTCTCGAACGAGATACGTCGCCGTCACGGTTATTCCTCTAAAGCTATCGCGCGGACCGTGCTAACGAAGAACGTGCTTGTTTCCTAATGAGGTGACTCCTCGAGGCGCTCGTTCACCCTTCGTCCTATCCCGAAACTCGGTTCCTCGATCGCCATTTCCGCGGCGGGAATGATTGGATCGCGGATTTTCATGGGAATAGAAGCTTTCGAAGTGAATGAGGTTGGATTTAAATATGAACTGAATAGACGTTTGTTTCTTTTATTACCTCGATTGCGATGCAATGACTGAAATTTCGACGGAGTCACTAATTTCATTACCTTTTGTATTATATTCAACGCAATAAATCCATAAGATTTTACGATTGGTTGTTATTAGACTACTTTTATATTCATCGTGCTTGACTTCTTAAGATGTTCACCGGGGATGGAGAGTGTTCCCGTCAGTCGATCTTTAATTTTCTTATTTGTAAAGATCCTTGCATTAGATTGAGTCTTCATAGAAATGCAAATAAAATTCTAATCGCGCAGCACTGGGTCTTAATGAATCCTCGGATGAAACACGAAGGGTGAACCGACGCTGCCTCGATGTTCTCGATGCACGATGGGGCGAGGGTACGTATATAATATATAAAAGTAGAAAATTTGGCGGCAGTATATAGAGATCGTGAAACGTGAGAAACGCGGTGAAAGGAAATGGGCCCTGGTTCCATGAGAATTGGCGTCGCACGCGTTGCACTCGTGCCCGTCTCTCGGTTTTGGTCTTTGTGCTTGTTTCGTCATCGTCGCCGTCGTCTTGACGGACAGTGACCTTCATGAAATCTCGATGTCTCCGTTAATCGCGCTCAGACTGCGTAAGTTCGTACGCTTGTAGCTTCCAAAACTCCGAAAAAGAATTCGAAACACCCGGAATCGAGTATAATTCAACGCAGTTTCATCCCGTTCTGAACTCACCGAAACCATAAGAGGACGAACAAAATATTTCTCCAAGTTTCATCGATCTACAAAACAAAAAATCGTACGAACTTCCGCAGTCCAGCGAATGTTCATCGACCAGTCTGGTCCTGGGCTTCCTCGTTTCACCCACCGATCAAGGAAGCAACGTTCAAGCTGCGTTAAGCAAGGAGAACTTGAGAACCAAACGCTGAACGCTTTGGCCCAACAAACAGAGAAAAACAAAGGAGCGCCTCGCGATCCTCCCCGGGTTCTCGTCGTCGCTAACGGTCGACTTCGAAGACGCAGGACCACCGTATCCCCTCGTTGAAAGCGACTTCTACCCTTGAACATCGTACCATCAATATTAGACTTCGTTCTCGTTCCAACTAAGAACGATCAGAGTCAGTGCCCACTGCAACCATTCATATCGAAGGAATACCACGAGAACCTGCGTCTGTAGTTACTTTAATCATCAACCAACTGAATCCTCAATCATTCCTCGATTCAAGAGTCTTCAACGAACCAGCATCTCAAATCTACTGGACACTTGATAGCTAGATTCGACGAAGCAGCTATCTTCCTCCACTTTCAACGCTCAGACGATCGACTCGAGCAACGAAGCATCAACCTAGTCGCTAACGTGAATCTCATGATTCCAAAAACTGTATTAGACACCTAGCAGATTCGTCGAAGCCTCGAAGCTGCCTTTACCCAGAACGTTCAAAATCAAAGATCAATCTAGTCTCAAACACGAACCTCAATCCAAATAGATCCATTATCCAGCGAATAGCTCGAGTCGACAAATCCCCGAAGCTACCTACACTCCTCAATCTGTTCAAGCATCATCAACCTGATCTCTACCCCGAAGTCGACCGCGCAACCAGGAATGTTCAAGGGACGACCCGGTGGATTCTCGGCCCGAAGGGTCCTCGCGGACCCTCTGCTCAGCGAACGACGATCGGTCCGGGCCGTAGATCCCGACGAAGGGTACCTCGGCTGCGTGTTTATTCGAGGCGGGCCTTGTAGCTGGTCTTCCATATCTCGGCGAACGTGACCGCGCTGTGGAACCTGTGGAAGATGCAGAGCGGCAGGGTGACCCTCTGCACGATGGCCCATGCGAGGAACCCGTAGAAGTCGAGCTGCACCGGGTTGGCTATCACTTTCCGCGACTCGAACGTGTAGATCACCCACATGGTGAGGTTGCAGATCAGCAGGAAGGTGACCACCTGTCTGCCCGGCTTGCTGCGGTCGTGCTCGGGCAGGTGGACCCGCCTGCGCGACACGTCCGCGATGAACAGCATCTGCAGGATCACGTGGGCGACCGAGAGCAGACCGGTCAGCATCACCAGCAGATTCGGCTCGTGGGTGAACGCCGCCAGGGAGCCGGCGATCACGCTGAACACGGCGTAGATGAACAGCCCGAACCCAGACACGCGCAGCAGGATGTCGTTCAAGTCGCTCTGCTCCTCGGCCTTGAACTTGAGGCTCTGCACCCGTATGAAACCGACGATGATCGCGATGATCGAGAGCACCATCAGCACGCAGTGCGACACGTCCGCCAGGTATATCGCGATCAGACCGAAGTCCGGGTGGTGGATCAGCACGAAGAACAGGATCAGACAGATCAGCGAGCCGACCAGCAGCAGCAGGCCGAAGAACAGCCCCTTGCTCGCTCCTACACAGTCCACCCTCGTGTGACCTACGTTCACCGCGTTCAGAGGTGGCTTTTAGTGAGGGGTCTCAACTAATGCGCTCCGGGGCCGGCTAGGACGATGCGTTGGTCGCCCCGGATTGGCGTGCGTGATCGTGATTCGTGTGGGTGAGAAGCTGTGACTTTATGGAACATCGCTGTGGCTCTTTTGCTCCCTTGAGCTTGCACTAATGTGCTTTCGTAATCGCTTCGGTGGAATCTGGTAAATTGGATCTGACGAAGTTGGTCAGTTCAGTTAGCTGCCGGAAGATGGACTATGCTTTTTATAGTTTGTAAGTGAGCTTTCTAGGTTCAAGATAGAGGTACAGATACTTTACTTGTACTTCTATGGGAGCGAGGAGAAGATTTGATTAATTTGCGATAAGTGATTCGAGATTTGCAAAGTTTCTATGATGCCAGAGACTGGTGCCTTCCCATCAGCACAGCGATATTGCATAAAGTTCACGTTCGCTGAGTGACGTGGAGTATTACAGGTTCGATGTGAACTAAACGATGATGAATTCTATGGACGTGAACTAATGATTACCTGCGTGGGCTAAAGCAACGGCTCTCCGAGACAGCATGGCCTCCAGGCGACGTTCGAGATCGGCCTCCACCTGATGCGGCCAACGTGGATGCCGGCCGATGTGCTTCCACATCACATAAATCACCGCAGCTCCGATCAGGCTGTACTCGATTATGAAGGGGAACAGGTACGGCTCGGCGTCTTGTACGATCGTTCCCATGATATTCACGCGGCCGCAAGAGTTGGACGCGATTTCCTCGTCCGTCAGTGCCTGCGCGATGATCCCGAAGTTGGGGCTCCAGAATTCGCTGCTGTTCGTCTGGTTGTTCACGTCGAAGATCTGATGAACCTAAATTGCATACATTATTCCATAGCTTCCCTATCAATCCCTCAATTGTTTCTAATTCACTTCTAAAATTCACTCTTTCTATCATTCACCAGTCGAACAGTCCTCATTCATCTTATTCCTCTTACATACCTGTCACGACATAATTGCAACATTGATTAAATTATTCTTTACACAACTGCAAACATTGGCACTAGGTTTACGGAACGCGTCAATTTGAAGATTGAATTTTATAAACATTATTTGGTAAATGCTTCAATCGGTTTCCGTTGATCAAATTACACGAATATGAATCCTGATTGTATTTCTACATCAACGAATATCAACTGTCCCAAGAACAATAGAATAAACTGTACAATAAATGCCTGTAAAGCTAGTGTTAAATTACTCTACTTAAGTGAGTCATCGAAGTTCGTTATCTCACATTGGAAACTCGTCGTTAGTGACTTCGTTAGGGAAGGTTATTAATATAATTCTGCATGAATTCTTCACCTCTTCCTTGCTGTCTGCCTGCGGTAGATCAAACAGATCCATAAGGTAAGATGAGAAGGTTGTCGAGGGTGTGGTGGTGGTGGTGGTGGTAGTGGTGGTTGTAGTGGTGGTGGTGCTGGTTGTGCTGGTCCTCTCTTCGGTGGTCGTTTTCGGCGTGAGCGTAGTCAAGAGAGTGGACAAGGTGGTCGCGGCGGTGGTCGTCAAATTAGGCAGGGGTGCAGAGGTTGAGGTCGTAGTCGTTGAAGACGGAGGGTTCCAGCCGGTTGTGGTGGTCGTCGTCGGTGTGGTGACAGCCCTAGCGACAGCCCTCGCCGTCGTTCTCATCACTCTGCCTAACGTCGAGGTGGCAGAGGTCGTCGCCCTGGTGGCGGTCAATGGAGCTTCGCGCAATAGAGCAACGTCTCGCGGCGCGGTTCCCAAGATGGCGCCCGCGTTTCGCATCGAGTGTTGCTTGATGCTCTCTGGAAATTATTTTATTGTCATTTATTTCTGCACGGTAAATGTGCTTAAAAGTCAATGCGGTTAAGTCGGTTTTTCGATATGCTGTGATTTTTGTGAATTTTAATGGAATGAATAATATTCTGTTTAGTCATTGAAGGATTTAAGTTTCTTGTGGAAAGCAAATTTTTATACAAATTTATATTGTATAATCATTTCAAAAGATAAAACATCAATTCTCTCAATTCTTTAAAATGAATATATAAGGAATCTCAATTTGAATATTTAAATTTTCAGAGACAACTTTTTGAAATTCTTATGACTAGAAATGAAGTTAGGAGATTCTTGAATTCTTTTGAAGGTTCTTGTTTATTTTGCTTTCTCTTATTCTATATTTTATGCAGTTGAGTTTGATTTCGATTTATTCTTTAGAATTTTGTTCCCCGGAGGGCAAAGGTCTACTGAGTAAAATCCTACCGAAAAAGGATTGAAATTTTCCACGAAAAATTCAGGTGTACCAACCAAGTATGCCCGCCTCGAACTGGCCCATTTTCTGATGATGCTTCGTGATCTCTTTGATGCTCTCGAGCACGAGGGTGCGGATCCAGACGCAGAGGTTCGTGGCGACCACGTGCATCAGACCGAAACGCGCGATCACTTTGAAGCGATGGATGTTCAGCTGTGAAAACGAACGGTCAAACACTCCCTTCGAAACCTTTCCGGTTAAGTGGTTGCTCTCTCCATGGGTCAAGTACCTACCCTCGAGTTCATGAAGATGAAATACATTTGCATGAAAGTGAAGATCATCTGGAGCAGCGGGTTCACGCCCTGGAGGATCTGGTAACATGGTGACGTGGGAGGCACCTCGAAGAACGTGCCGAACTCCAGACCGTTGTAGACCATGGTGCCCAAGCCGAAAGCTGCAGGAAAATGAAGTAACAGTGTAAAACACATTTCTCGTATAAAATAAAAAACATTCCAATTATAGTCATTTGAAGTATTCCGTAGAAAATCGCATCAAAATGAAATTGAGAGGTACGATTAAAGAATGACAATGATAAAATTGAGAAAATGAAATTAAAATGTGACAATGAAGTTGAGAAAATAAAATTAAAATATGACAACGATAACATTAAGAAATTAAAATTAAAATGCGACAGTGATGGAAATAGGAAAGAAGGATAAATTACGTAATAATCGTCGCAATTAGGAAACAAAGAAGCATCGACGCTGAATATGAGATGAATCCAGCAATAATGACCAAACAATATAAATTTCCCATTTCACACAGCATACTCCCAAAATCCTCAAATGACTAATGACAAAGCGCCAAGTCTAAGGCTAAAATTCTTACCAATCGCTCCAATTCTAAGGAAGAAGCTCCCATGGCTCTGATCGTTCTGCGACGTCTTCCGCTTCCGCAGAGCGCGAGTGGCCACTCCGGCCTCGACGTCCGCAGCGTCCTGAATCAGTATTTAACGTTTCTTCCCCTGAATTCTCACCTGCGGCGCGGCCATTCCGAAATCTCGCGACGCGAACGTATCCCCGTTAATTGCAGCCGCCCCGCCGCGGCGCAGCGCAGCGCCGGAGAGGCTGCGTACTTTAATGAGCACGGAACTGCCGAGTTTTCAGTTTACAAGTGGGTTCACGTGATAATGAATGGGAGGACGGTAGCACGTGCCTTCCAGTAGATGGTCGATGTCGACGGGTAACCCACTTACGTCAGCACCGAAAGTGTCTCTCTTAAAACCGCGTCATCGGCTCGATACCCGGCTCCAATATACCGAAATACACCCGTGATCCGTGGAAAACACGGCGAATTCGAGCAGATTTTTAGAATTAATTTTAGAGGCCCTCTCATCGCGGCCATTCGAATTGAAAGGTTTATTATCTTCAGCCGTGACACCAAAAGTGTTTCAACCCAGTCGAATTTAACATGTTGCTATAGTTATGGTTACTATGGTTCACTCGATTAAACGATGATTATTTGAAAACGTTTCTATTATAAATAATTCTATTCGATTTAACCCTTTGCACTCGAAAGTTTTTCACTAGAAATATTCTTCGATGAGATACAGACGATGTTCTTTGAAACTAATTAACGAGGAAACATATAAATTAAGAAGGAGAGTTACTTTATTTCAATATTCCATATATTGATGCATCATGCAAAGCTTAATATTATATATAAGACTTTATAATTTTGCAAAATCTTTTCTCATCAGAAAATGTTAAAATATTTCTGAAAAACTTCCGAGTGCAAAGTGTTGAGAAGCGAATAACGCAGGAGATTCTCAAACACAGATATTTCTCGTAGTAGACGCAATTCCGTGAGACGTTACGTTAGAGAAGACTGCAAACCTGGTACTCCTTTTTATTCTTCGGAGGCTTCTGCTCCTTCTCCTTCTTGTCCTTCTTCTTGTTCTTCTCCTTGGGCTCTTTCGGCGGCTTGGGCGGCCTAGGCGGCGGCGGCGGCGTGTCGCTTCCTCTGGCGCACCACGCGCTTTCTTGCAGCAGGAAGCAGAACACGTACAGCAAAAATAAGATGCTAACCCCGTAGAGATACGTGAAGAAGCCCTCGTAGTAGTAGAGCGGCAGCTTGTGCGTGACAACCTCGCTGATCACGTAAGCGATGCACACGACCACCAGCAGCTTCGCGTAGATGAAGCTCATGATAATGAACAGCGACGTCCTGCGGGCAGGAAAAGAACGGTAAATCGCGCGTGAACCCCGTGCAAGGTTCTGCGAACCGGCAGACCACCGTTTTCAACGATCGTAACACTGGTTAACCGCCTGAGTCAAAATTTAACCAGTTAACTGCGTTCGACGAGTATGCGCGTCGATTTTACGCTGGTTTAACCGCCTAGGTTTGAATTTGACTGGTCAACTGCGAGTGTACACGTTATGGTAAAGATGAAAATAATATTGTTGCTTTTTAATAATAGGTTGTTTATTCTTTAAGGTAAACATGTGATCCTTCTTCTTGCTTTAGATTTTTATTGGAGTTTTATTAGTTGATTTTAGTTATATGCATGCGTCTATTTTATTTTGTAATACTTAGTTGAAGATGATTCTTGATGTAATAGATGTGTACACGTTATTCTGAAGATGAAAATGATATTGTTGCTTTTTAAAAATAGGGTATTTATTCTTTAAGATAAACATGTCATCCTTCTTCTTGCATTAGATTTTTATTGGAGTATATTGGTCGCGATCTGTTTGATGTGTACACTCGTTTAGTTGATTGTACGTGTATGCGTCTATTTTATTTTTAATACTTAGTTGAAGATGATTCTTGATATAATAATAGATGTGTAATATTTTAAAGTTACAGTAGGGTAATAGTGAGTTGTGTAAAATAAAGAGAACGTTGAGAGGAAGATTTCTTTATAATTTTAAGCTTGAAATAGTGATCTCGAGTGAGAGATTTTTATTATGTTTATATTATACATGTTTCATTGAAAGTTATTGTAATTCTCACCGTGATTTTCGGACAATTTGCACACGGCTACCGTGCACTAACGTGTTGTTCCCGCCCTTGTTTACATTGTTCTCCATGAACGGCACTATTTCCACCTCCATTGCGAAGTTTGTTTATAGTGATCGCAGATGTAGAATGCCTTTTTAGGGTTCTTCCTATTTCATCTCGCGTGACACGGAAATTGTTCGTTAGTTCGAATTCTTAGTTATATCGTGGTTATTCATATGGATTTCGCAGACACTGTAATAATTGTGCTTAATGGAATACTGTAGTTTCACTTCGATATCAGATTTAAATTATCACGTGCAGACTTATATCGCATAAACATCTAGTCTACGATGAATTTATTGAGAATGATATTGATCAACAATACCCCTAATGACAACAAACGAAGCGATTCTAAAAGAAACAAATAAGTTGGACGCACAGAATTAAGATTTCCCACGTAACACTTCGTTCTCGATGTAACGGAACATGAAAATTCGCCGCGTATGTAAATCCCGTGTCTGTTCATGACCTACCGTTTCTACTTCTTACGTGCGTGTCTCTGAAACTTTAGAAGTAAATTACCTCGTGAACGAAGTGCCTCAGCGAAAACCTTCATTGCATGTTGCAAACGTATCTTTTCATGTAGAATCTTTCCACGGTTGTACCTTGACTTTGAATATCCCCTGGACAAGCCTTCCTTATCTTTACACGAGAAAAATACCAAATTCCACGTGTAGCTACTTTTCCAATCAAACCTGCTTTATTCTTCTATATTACATTTCATCGATATAATACAATCTCTGAGCCTAGATTCTATTCTCACAGAAAGTTACAAAAGTTCAAATAAAAAAGACTAACAAAGAGTAATACTACAATCACATAATTATCTACTAATATCTCACGAACAAATACGTAACTATCCCTAATCCTCCATCAACAATCCTTACGATTATTCAAAAAACTTACAAAATACTACAACATTTTCCAGTCACTATTATCTCATAACCCTCGATCGCCAAATCTTACAAACAAATACGTAACTATTGCCTAATCCTCCATCAATAATCCTTACAATTATTCAAAGAACTTACAAAATATATTTTCCAGCCACTATTATCTTTTAACCCTCGATCACCAAATCTTTCATTTAACGCTCCAATTAACCAAACTCTCTAAACTAAACTCTTCAAACAATCGATCGTTAAACTCTCTCACGAAAGGAACTCCCTCGCAAGACAATCGAAACCTCGATAATCCGAACGCAATCGTCGCACCGCGCCGCGTGAATGGTTCGTTCAACTCGCAGTCAACAACACAGCGCGACTATCTTCGATTATTCGCGAGCGCGAACTACGGCGGCCTGGACAAACGACTCGATCCACCGGCACGCTATTTTCGTGGTCGGCCCGCGAAGCACCGCACTTTTCGATTTTTACTCTCCGCCCGCTAATTTTAATTGCACCGACGTCTCCTCGCGACGACTCGCGGCCCGTCGATCGTTCGCGCGGCGGCTCGCGTCGCCTCTGAACGGCGAGCTCGGCTCGAAATCGGTCGGAAGTCGCGGCGTTTCGACGCTTCGACGTCTCGAGCGGCACGAAACGCACTCGTGCACCAGCAGGAGAGCCCGGTTGCTTTTCTCGTTAAAGGTTAGGTCGCGGAATCGATAATTCAGTGTTGGGGTGCGCGACGCGGCGCGCCACGCGGATTACGTACCCCCTGGATTAATCGCGCGAAAAATCGGAGGTTTTTCTCGTGATTTTCCTTCGTATCGCCGAAGGAATAATCGAAGTAAGAATCGAGTCGCTTAGACGCTAATGCGATTCAGGAGATCGTTTGATTATCTGATTTTTGTCAATTTTAATAATCTGAATATGTTGTGTAATGATTGTAGGAGTCGAAACATTAATTTTCTCATTTTTGGTTTCTAGGAGTTCGAGTTTTCTTTGGTTTTTGGGAATTTAGTGATTTAGTTCAGTAATTGAAGTATGAAGAGAGTAATGAAAGTCGAAATTTTGACTCTTTTCATTGTGATTAGAAATCGGAAGAATCACGAATGGACAATCAATGGCACGAAAAAATTTCTGTTTCTATAATATTTTACATCGCAAACACAATAATGAAGATAAAAGAACAATTTCTATTTTCTTCGGGTTTGTTTCTAAATCTATCTAACTTAATTATCGAACGAATCACGAATTTGACGTTTCTTTCATCTTTTCCGTCGCGAGAACGCTAACGAAAACAACCACAGAATTTTGATTTTCTTCCCTCCCGGTTTACGTTTCGAAACCGCGAGAGCGACGCAGCGTCGCGACGTCTGCACGCGGAGTAGAATCAGGGGCTCCGCGGCGCATGGTGCATCTTCGTCGAGAAGGGCTTAACCACCCTTTGTCACGCGGGCATTTCAGGGGTTGGGGCGCAGACTTTATTGTGTTCCGCACGAGCCGGTACACTCTTGTCAAGCAGTTTTTTTCCTGCCCCTTTCCTCTCTTCTTTTTTCCTTCTTCGATGATTATCGCGCTGCGTTCGGGATCTCGCGCGTACAAACACCGGTTCCGTGGATATTTTCGCGCCTCTCACCGTTGGCATTTCGACTTCCTGTTTTCCGGGCCAGCGTTCTTTTTAAGAATTTCGCGGTCACTGTGCCGCGCGACCCGGCCGCCCGTAATTTCTCTTTGTCGAAGCTGTGCGCCATCAAAATTGGGCAGCGACGCGATTAATCAATTAATTCGTTTTCAGCTAAATTCCACCTATAGACAACAAACGGGTGCTTCGTAGTTTTATTAATAACATTCTCCAGTGAATTTCACAAATACTTCAACTTCAGTGAAATTCGAAGCCTGAAATATCAAAAACAACTGCGATAAAACTGACAAAAATATTAAAAACAGCCAACGCAGTACTTTATTTTCATCTAATCTTCTCGTTAACTATTTCCATGTCCCTGACTGCGTTTCGTTCAAACTATCCGAAGCACCCCTATACCAAATTCATCATTCGAACCGCAACTCCTTTGTCCCGAGCGAGACAATCGCTTCAAACCAGAAACCTCAGCGTCCCCTATCTCCTTTTATTGTACCCGAGCAGATAACCATCCTCCAGGATTGACGCGAGAAGTTCGAAACTTTTTTCGCCGAAAGATACTCTCGTCGAGATGGCAAGGGTTAACGGCGCCGGTACGCCCGGCGAAATTCCGGGCGCTCGGATCGGCGACGGGAGGGATGAAAGGACAGTTTCGGAAAAGTTTCCGCGGCGACGCGACTCGGCGACAGGAAAAAAGTCGGCAGCGCGCGCCGATATGGCCTTTTTTCTCCACTTCTGGCGAAGTAAAGCGGCGAGAAGTGGAAACAACGCGATGGATGGCACAGACTCCGAGCGAACCGGGCTGCGACCGGTCGATATTTCGAAGTACCTACTTTCCGACGCTGGTCTTTCTCTCCGGTACCTGGCCCTCTCGACTCTCCCTCGCCTCATCTGTGTGTTCTCTCGTCGAATTCACCCCTTCCTGTCCAATCACCGCCGTATTCTTTCCCCCGGCAGGCTTTGAGCCGCGCGATCGTCGATCAAACCAACGCAGAAATTCGTTTTAATATCCTCGCCGTTCACCGTGGATATTCATGCGAATGCACATCTTTACAGAGAGATAACACACTGATTTCAAGCAACAACTAAGGTTTCGCCGACGCTTCGTTCCTTAGAATAATCACCTTTAGCGCGTTGGAGTGTATATTGGCAGACCGAGCGCATTAGTGAATTTCCCAGCAATACTTAGAATTCTTGAGAAACACGTGGTTATTCTTATCGTCATTATCATGTTACATACAATACATAGAATACTACATAGTTACAAAATCAGTTCAGAACGAATTTCTTTCAAAAACCTACTAACAGCCCGCTGCCGACCTCCAATTCGCAGGAGTCCTCACGCAGAGGACCCTATTTTCTTACCATAACTCAAGTTCTACGATCAAATCTTCACCACGGTATCTTTCTCCTCAATCCCTAGTACCTCTAAAACTCCAGAAAGATCGATTTCAAGGAATATCTACTCATACAGATCGATTTTCCAGGCGACAAGCGCCATGGAACGGACGCAGACAATGTACCAGTCGAAGCGTTGCGACTCCCATAGAAAATCTCCGCGGTTCTATTTCGATAATTGGCAAATGTTGACGCGAGTCGGAGTCGGAGAGCTTTCACCGAGCACGTTTCCGCGTTATTTT